GCAACAAGGAAATTTCTCCTGAAACTGTACGAAAAGTGCTGCGAAAGGCCGATTATCATGGATGCAAACCTAGGTGTAAGCCATACATTTCCGAGACAAATGGAAAGAAAAGAACTGCTTTTGCCAAAACATATTTAAACTCTTCGCAGGACTTCTGGAACAATCTAATTTGTTTAGATGAACGTAAATTTACAATATTTAAAGTTAATGGCCACCCTATTGTATGGAGAAAACCAGGAACAGAACTGAATCTGAGAAATTTAAATCCAACTGTCAAACATGGAGCTGACGGTGTGATGGTATGGGGGTGTATGTCGTCGAAAGGAGTTGGAAATTTTCCCATTATTGTTAAAGTCATGGAATAAGTATGTTTATCTGGATATTCTGAAGAAAAATCTACGAGACAGTGCCCGAAATTTAAACCTTTCTAATACCTTTATTTTCCAACAAGACAACGACCCGAAACATACAGCTAAAATTGTGAAGGAATATCTCCTCTATCACACTCCAAGACAGTTGCGTACTCCTCCACAGTCACCAGACCTCAGTCCAATCGAACATTTGTGGGCAAAATTGAGAGAAAGAAAATTGAAGAAAAACGAATTCGAAAACACAATATTACGTCGCGAAATGAGCTAATTAGTAAATTGCAGGAAGAATGGGCGAAATTTACGTCGGATGACAGTGAAAAACTAGTTCAGTCAATGCCCAGACGTCTGCAAGCTGTTTTGAAGAATAAAGGATATCCTACAAAGTATTGAAGTAATGTAAAAAACTTATATTTTGCTTTTTTTTTAAAAGTGTACGCAGACTTATTGGAGGGAATTTCTGAGTTTTTTTGAAAAAATGTAAAAAGTATTACACTGATATTATTTACTTTTTATTTAAGCTTACAGTTTTAGCTAATAGAAGAAAAAAATGCAATGATTAAAATACATTTTTCTATGCTTTAAATGTATTTTTAATTTAAAATTTAGTCTGTACGCAGACTTTTGTGACTAACTGTATATATATACATTAAACGATTCTGTACCAAACATGTAATGTAGGTATCGGAAACAGCCTTTATTAATTACAATGAAGTACTTTATAAAGTAGATACCTCGATAAAAAAATTAAATATAATTTTAAAATTACTAAGAAATGCACTATAACTTATAAATCGCTTCTAGTTCATTCCCCAGTGATCGAAATAATTCCACAGATACATTTAAGACCTTCCAATTTGCCGAATGGTAGCCATCTTCGGTGACTCGAGGCGCGTGTGGAAGATAAATTAAGCTTCTGATATTTGCGAACTGGCAACGCTTAACCAATGTATTAATTAATAATTGATGTGTTTAATAATTAATAATGACGATAAAATATGTGAGGCAGATATTATATGCCTCCCCTTAAAAAAACTTTTTGCATTACATGAAATAAGTTACGAAACAAGATTTAAAGTAGGGTTTTCCTACGCAGACAGACCAGTACCACGCTATTCTTTTGGTATCAAGAACGAAAACTAACTATCAATATACTCACTCAGCTTCCTTCAGATTTATACGAGAGGATGAGAAACGAAGACTCGACTGGAAATGATGGTTAACGGATATCGGGCTGAATTGAGAATAAACAATATTGCCAGGAGGGAGTACAGAAAAGACTGAATGGGACATCGCCGTCTACAGTAGAATAACATATCGTAACGTAGCAGTCCAAAAGTTCTGGAAAGATTTTTGCTGAAGTCATTTCTTACAACAAAATACATTTTCAATGCTTTTAAGCTTCATAAATTCTAGCATCCATTTCACATGTCGTCAACTTTTCTGGACGTTCACTTTTTTTTTATATTAAGTAATAAAATATTTTCATACGCGCATATCCTTCATTTGTATAAAAGCATTTTATTTGCTGTTACACAAATTAATAGAATCTGAAATATGGTTTACAAATTAAGAGAAAATTGCCTTTATTAAAAATTAAAAAATAACTGCAACATGTTTTATGAAAATTAAATATATTTATTGCTAAGGGAAAGATGTCACCATATGTGCTCATCTGATTTAATAATTGAAACGAGCGTTAATTCCAGTTTTAATTTTACAATGTCTTAAGAAAAGAATTTTATGCTTTCTTCCCCTTCCCCAGCAAACCACTTATCAAAAATCCGACGCCAAGCAAGCAACACATAACTTCTGGGCCAGTAACTGAGGAACGGTAATCGCTGTAATGCAAGACACTGGCGCTCCTTTTAAAACATTTCATTCGATTTTGAAACTACTCCAACTTCGTTAAAACCATCATTTCCCATATACTTAACGAGTAAAATTTATTCAGCATCAAACGTAAAAATAGTCCAAAGCAAAACCATCAAACTTTCTGGGGAGGGAAAGGCAAATTCGGGCAACCCATTAGAAACTGCGACCTTGCAAGTTCCTGGACGACTTTCCAACCATTTTCCCCCGCGAAGAGGGGTTTGAGTTGAACTATCTGGGATTTGGAAGGAGGCGAGTGGGGTCGGATCTCATCAGTCAGCAATTCCACACCCACCCAAACATCCTCTGCTGCGATATCTCTGCTGTCCCCGTGGTGCACGGGCTGTGCAAATTTTTTTAGAAAAGGGATCAGTTCCATATTATTACTTTTAATAACTACAGTTAGCGTTTCACTAAACTGCTTTTACATTAACTCACAGACCTTGCATTATATATTAATGCGTTAAACATCTAAGAGATTGACGGCCATTCGAATCTTCTCGTGTAACTGAAATTGTACTGCCATTTTGAAACATTACAAACCATTCATTTTCAATGACTATTATTCGCTTCTATTTTGATTTGAAGTCTCTATTCCTTATTTGAAGGATCCGTCGCTTCATAAAATTTTTTGTGGTTAATATTTTTATTAAGGAACACAAGTGAGGCTTCGAAGGTACCGACGAATTCTTTGTTGCAATGCCTATTATATATCCATCTATGAATTAGATTTGTGACATGAATGTAGCCCATACTATGTGAAATATAAAGATCATTTTTATGTTCAACAGTCAATACTGTCTGCTACAAAACTAATAATAATATTTGATGTCATGAAAAAAATATTACCTGAACCATCATCGATAAACCATTTCAAAACAAGAAATCACGGTTGCTACTATTTTAATTAACATTAATTTACTTTTATATTAATGACAGGACATGGAATTTAAAAATTAGTCAAATTTTTCTAAAACTAGGCAGTGGCCTATCTTACTGAAAACAAAGCAGAGTCTTTGCAAAAAAATTACAAGTTATTTAGAATGAAACGATTTTCTGAACTCCAGTAAACTATCAGTGAACGATGCAACAGAAGCCCATCGATGAGCCCCAATTTAAAATACAGTAAAATACAGTTTTAGACTGATATTGCTTCTCCATAAAATCTCTTGATTATCCTGAAGAAGGCTGGCAAGAGATCTTCAGTCAACAAAGTGCACTCTACAAGTTTTGGTATCTCTTTTATTCGACGAATGAAGCCAAAATTATTTCTTTTCCTTTACCTCCCCCTTCCCTCTTTTCTAAATAAAATGACAAATATTTGGGTAAAAAACGCAGATTTTTGCTCCTTAAAGAGGAGGGGCATTCAAAATTCGTGCTTTTTCAAAAAAATCCACATTATGCTACTTCGGAAAATTTTGAGTATCAGCACTTTTTTTAAAAAGTAGTTTATCTAGTGCATACAATAAAAGATTAAGCTTGTGAGATAAGTCAAAGATATCACTACTATTCAGGACCAAATCATTAAAAAAAAACACTTGTAATTAACATGACTGTTAAAAATTTAACATGATTATTTAAAATACGCGATTACATTAATATTTAGATTTTTTTATTAATCTACAATTTTAAGAATCAACAAAATAAATTATTGCTTTTAAACAAAATGTATTTTCCCTGGCTTAACAGACCCCTAACTATCTGGAAAATTTTAGTGTCTACAGCAAAGAACTATCCAAAGAACAGGGATCTATATACAGTCTTCTTCAATAGGCTTCGAGTTTTGACACGCTCTTTTAAACAGAACAATGGATTTCGAGGAAGGGGGTAAGTTGTCAGTGAAATGACTGGTACCATCCCTGATGCCTAAAGCTTGAAAAGAAAAAAGGAAAAGGTACAGCCTGAAGTGAGAAAAAGTGTGGGCCCGTATAGCGAGCACGTTCTGGGCATAAATTGAAAAAAAAAAAAAAAGTTATCAGAATGATCGTCGTCTCAAACACAAAGAATGATTTTTTATTGCTATTCATCGGCAGCCTTTTTTCCCGCCTTTTTCCTTCATTGTTACCCGTACTTGAGTTACACCTCCAGTTCTTTTAGGATGACTTTTTTAAATGATGATTACATCAATAAGAGTGCTTACTGTGTGAAATATGTCTTTTTTCTTACCTCGCGGCGAAAGAAACAATGAAGATTTTTCCGACCACAATTCCATAATTTCTAGTCTTTCATCCTAGCCATGGCTTTTCATATTTTCAATGGCATAATTTAATTCGTTCCCCAGAAGATAATGCAATAAGTATAATAATTTTAACAAATTCACTTTTAATCTTGAAATTACACAATCAGGGAGTAGTTCTTAACTTAAATTGAATTAAAAATTTTTGCTACTAAGATATCAGAAATTGACACTTTTTCTATACATACTTATGAAATAAAATTTAGAGTATACATTTAATAATGCACTATAATATGACCAAATATACTATATACCAACTAATTTAATTTAGATATCTTCCATCCACATGTGGAATTCCAAATACCTCCCCCCTCCCAAAAAATGCTTTGTCCCAGAATTATGTTCAATGGAAAACCAAAAAGAATTGAAAATCTGTGGAAAATTAATTTCAAACTTTTTAGTAAAGTTTAGAAAATTAGATTTTTAATTTGTAACGAAGTTATACCAAAAACGTTTTTCTATTATCACTGTCCACTATGACAGACTGCACTTTCAGGTACCAACAGTTAAAATGATGAACTTACCATTGGTAAAGCACCCAGAGTTCCATTTGGATGAGGATGATATGGTGATACAACATATCCAAAAGGCGATGGAGGAAGATATTCAAATTGTTTTCCTAAAACAATAATGAAAAAAAAATTCAAGAGTAAACAATGAATAATGGCAAATATCAAGATTTTTGTTTGGTGGAATATAATTTAAATTTGAAAACACAACTGAAATATCATAACATGAATAACAATGTTAAGGTTAGGGAATTTTTTGGATCCCAGGTTTCAGCTTCCAGACATACTGCAACACAATGTAAAATTTTAAAATTTATATTGAATTTTTCCAACTTACACCAACATAATTTTTTAGTTTATTGCCCTACATACTAAAATACAAATCCCATTCTGATAATTTTTCTTTCCAAAAGATTTAATTTCATCATTGTTTCTTAGATATGACATCACTAATAACTTTTCCACCAAAGCATTAATATTACTTTTTAAAAAAAGAAACTGAACAACTTTACAGTTTTCACTAAAATAAATAACTTTTGTGACATTTTAAGACTGAAGTGTCCTTAAATTCTATAAACTGATATTAATACCCAAAACATATTGCAGAATGCTGTATTTATAAAATGGTATCTAATAAAATAATCTTCCATTACACAGAGGGATCTTACCAAGAGAAAATATCTTAACATGCATCTTATATTTGGTTCTTCATTCTTAAGGGATATATTATAATATTTTGGTATGACACTACTATGCCATCCATTTCTCACTGAAGGTACTTCTGAATACATCAACAATGTCAGCATAGAAAAACAGCAAAATTGAAACATATGGATTCACCAAATACAAATAAATGCATTTATAAGACAAGTTCTGCACAAAAATAAATTACAAAAAATTCTACCACTCTGAAGTTGGTGGACAAATATTATGACTAATTAGCCAGAGCTAGATTAAACATTAAGCAATGTAAGTACATGCTGAGAGCATCAAGGAAAAGGGGGGCATAAAGAATTTCCATTGTTAGTTTTATCCTGAAATGCACTGTGCAGCTACACCTAAACAAAGGCAGAGAAGGAATTGAAGGAAAAAAAAAACCCTTAAATGCATGTGGGGGCACAAAGATCTTTTAAGTGCTTATGGCCTCAAAGTCTTAATCCAGCTTTAATACAGTTAACAAACTGGAAATGCCTCTGATGCCCAGTTCATAAGCATTAGTTATGAAGATATAAATTTGTGCACTGAAAAATTTAATTCTTTGCATATAACTTACATTTGAAAAATTAATTAAATTTGCATATTTCATTTTAAAACAATGTGGTTTTAATTCATCCTAATAAATATGTGGGAAAGGTATTCTAATACTGGCAGCTGCAGATATTCAGTAACCTACAGATTCAATCTTGCATCAAATTCTAACAGCTTTAACCCGCATCAGTGTGGCTTACAAATAACTGCATTGAGGTGCTGAAATATTCAGTGACACAAATGAAAGTTTAAATACCAATACTATATCAGCAAACTGACTTCAAAACACTTTTATTCACCTCAAATAGATAAATTGTTCAATTGAACATGTTAACAACTAAACAAGTTTTGTAGCTGATTAATAATATATTAAATTTTGTATATAATTAAATCAACAATAGAATCACATTTTATATTAAGAATTGGTTTAAAATGAAAATTATGAATCATTGCTTATATGAATTATGGGCTGAATTTTCTGTGCCTTTAGAATGAAAGAAAATTTCATAAGACTGATTCACATATTATGGCAAATGCCAAACTTCAGAACTCATGCAATTTATATTTTACTTAATATCAAACATGCAAACTAAATCACACACAAGATCACAATATATATAGACTAAAACCTCTGTTCAAATTGATACTTTTGGGTTGTTATGACATTAACCTAACCAACAGAGTTAACATAACCGATTTGTTCCATGAAAATTTTCTGCATTTAAGTATTATGATTACACATTAAGTATTATGATATATACACTCACTTCCAAAAGTTAAGCACGGAGAGGAAAATGCTAATTTCCGGAATCCAATCAGAATTGAAGAGGATGCAATTCCCTGCAGAAGTAGATGGAAGTATGCAAATATGTTAGGTAACAGCCAATCGCGCTTTCACATCAAGAAATAAGGCAGTCTTATAAGAAGCCACTTTATGAAGGATTACAGAAGTTGATTGTAAGTGCTGATAGAAGGTGTTTAAAACTTTTGTATAATTTGTTTTTAAGACATACATGTTTCTATGACTTCCAGAAGATGAATGGAAGATTCTGAGCACTGGTGTGCTGTGGGGCGCATTGAAGCAGGACAGTCAATCACAGATGTTGCCCTTTCCTTCGGCGTTCATCATTCTGTAATTTCACGTTTATGGAAACAATTCCAAACCACACAAACAGTTCTCCGAAGGCCGTAGCCGGTCGCCCAAGGATTACAACCCCTGCGGAAGATCGATATATTGCTATTATGGCCAAGCAGAATCCCAGAGCGACCTCCACACGTGTGACATTTATGGTTACAGCGTCAATTGGTAAGGCAATATCTGCAGCTACTGTATGCCGAAGATTACACACGAGTGGACTGTACGCCCGGGTACCTCGAGTTTGTGTTCCTCTATCCATCCAATCAAGAGGGGTGCGATTATAATGGTGCCAGGAACATGTCATGTTTACTGACGAGTCAAGATTTGCTCTGGAGCCAGATGACAAGCGTATAAGGATATGGCGTAAACAACGAACACGCAATCAGTTCCAAAACATCACCGAACATCACGCATTCCGAGGTGGAAGCATTATGGTGTGGGGAGGGATTTCATTAGGATACCGCACTGAGCTGCACATCTTTAAATGGGGTTCTTTGACAGCTGTCCGGTATATAGATGAAGTCCTAGAACCCATTGTGAGATTGTATGCTGCAGCAAGTGGCCCTACTTTTGTTTTAATGGACGATAACGAACGTCCCCATAGAGCTGACATCGTCGATGATTACCTGGAGAGTGAAGGGATTGCGCATATGGCATGGCAAGCATATTCGCCCGACCTTAATCCTAATGAACATCTTTGGGATGCTCTCGGCCGTGCTGTACTTTAACGTTTCCCACCTCCAGCCACTCTTATTGAGCTGGAAACTGCTCTACCAGAACAATGGCGATTGCTTAATTCTGTGGTGGGTGACCACCTAATTGAAAGCATGGACACAAGGTCTAAACTTTGTATACAGATGAGGGGGGGATCACATACCCTATTAATGTTCTTTTTTTCATTTTATGCTGTTTATTTTCACTTTATACATAATTCTGTGTAAGTCTCCAGTACGTCATTATCTGATAACTTAAAAAATTTAATAGTTTTCATTTCTATATATAATTATTGATTTTGTTTTATGCATAAATATATATGCTACTTTCCTGCCGAATTTTGTGTCAATCAAAGCAGTATTTGTTGATTTTATTCACATTTTACACCTTCGTGCTTAACTTTTGGAAGTGAGTGTACTTACTTTTGCCATTGGAAATATTCAATTTCTTTTGGGCCAAAATATATCATTGCTATATCAGTTTATGAATGTTATTTGTATATCTTTTTCAAATCACTTAATTCTAGACAGTAAATTTTTCGCTTGCTTCAAAAATTCAGAGACCTTAAAAGTAACATATCTGACAACTAAACAAATATACATGGTTAAATTTTATAAACATGCTAGTTCACATACTCCTAATATAAATACATACAAGTTACATAGATTAAAAAAACTTTTATATATTCTTAATATATTTCACAGTTACTTTATTAAGTAATGCCTAATAAGCCGCAACAATCATATGTGAAATTGTGCACATTCATGTGAAAAGTGAGAGGGACTCTTCCCAGTCATAGAGTGTAATCTTAATACTCTGTATTCACAATAGTTTTCCAACTATCCAGAAATCAATCAACTATCACAGTTACTTCGGGGAAGGAAAAGAGGAACATTCAATTTCTGGAAGGGCATTGACAAAAAAGCAGAATTAAGCAACCATGTTCGTTTCCAACTGGGTACAAAATTAATGCTGAACTGTAAGTACAGATCTGGACACCTCAAAGGCATCTGTCATGAAGGATTGGATTGGATTGGATTATTTAATTACGGCAAAGCACACGAGGGCTATCTGCCTAAAGGGAGGGATGCCTTCGTGGAGGACTTTCTAAAGGAAACTGGCTCGTATACACGTTACACATGGGGAAAACCACGAAAACGCCGATGCAGCTAGCTAGAATTGAATTAATGGAATGGTGGCGTGGTGTATTTAATTATGGCAAAGCACACTAAAGCTATCTGCCTAAGGAAGGATGCCTTTCGTGGAGGACTTTCTAAGGGAAACTGGCTCGTATACACGTTACACATGGGAGAAACCACGAAAACGCCCATGCAGCCAGCCCGTTCGTGAGATTCGAACCTCGGACCGAACTACCAGTGTTCAGTGTCTTTACTGCTCGGCCGCTGGTGGGCCCTGTCATGAAGGACATAAGCATATTGGAAACTGCCACTACAGCCTTTCTTTAACAGTTCCTGCTCCTGAAAGTGTGAGTAACACCCGTGTAAAATGAGAAATAAATTAAGCTTTTGAAACAGCACCATTCTTTTATTAACGCCCCATAAATGAAAATTATAAGTTTGTAATTTTCAATATATGGCACAAATACTAATACTACTTTCTAGACAGTTGTTTACAGTTTGAAATAAATATTCTGAAAAAATATTAATTTAAATATTTTTAAAATGCTAAGGTCTAACTATATTATAAAATACAAAATAGCTAAATGAAGATAATTATAGAATTTAAAATAATTATATATATATATATATTGTTTCCATACACATTTACTAGTAGAGCTCTGGATCATCATGCATACAATTATCAGGTTAACATGATTCACATGGATGCAGGAATATACTAGTGATAAAAAATTCCACCTCAAATCCAGCACCACAATCAAAAGTCTAATTAATAGAGTTTTGAAAATGTAAATAATGCACAATTTCCGATGGTGTCTTACACTATATTATGAAATCATTTTTCCATGAATTTTTTATTCCTCCCTTTTTTAAAGCATTTTTATTGATTTTGAGGACCATAACACCCTTCTCATTCTAAACCTCTGAAGTCATCCCCACTAGTAGTTATATAAAGCAGACTTGTTCTATTTGAATTAAATAATAACTTGAGGGGAAAGGAAGGTTTCCACCTATGCTAAAATACCTTTATGCACAACTATTACTAAAAAAATTGCGAACAACCACCGTAAAATTTAAAAGCTCTTCTAATCACAGATTTGAATGTTTAAAATTTACCACTTATATTCAAACATAACACAGTCCTGCCACTGCATTTGTAATAGAGTTCCAAGATATGAACATTAAATGACATATAATTAGGAATTCCAAACTCTTTCTTTTACACATACATGAAACTAGAGTATTCTGCCATTTTAGCCTAATTGTCAGAAGAAAGAAATGCAATATACAGATGGAAAAGTATAATATACATTTTCAAAAGAGGGCAGAACTAAAAAATTATTCCTCTCCCAACAGGAATTGACTCAAAAATGAAAAAGAAGTGTAAAATAATCTAATAGTGAATAACTGCAGACCATACATCCCTGCCATATTACATGCCAACAGGATATGAGCTAAAAAGCCACATTCAAGGGGTGACTTGCAACCTCAGAAAAAATGTAGAATCTTATACAGATGATTTTTTATCCCTACTCCTGCTACATAACAAACAAAATCAACAAGAAAGCACTAACGCTCCCACCTGATGTAGGAGAATCGTAAATAAAACTTTCATATGCTGTATTTCATTCAGTTATGGTACGTCCTAAATTATGCCATGTGTTTGGAAACAGAAAAATGGCTTTTTTGGCGAGCTTACACATAAGCAAATTCGAAGGCAAGAGAAATTGTGAATTATGAATCAAAGGACCAGGCGTCAATTGTAGTTTAAACATGAAATCAACACTTAAGGTGACGTTATGCAAGTACAGGAGTAATTGTATTAAAATTAATTTATATAAGGTGTTTCTCTCATTCTAATGATACAATAAAGGGCACTGAAAGACTGAAAATACATTTATCCAACAATGTTCGAAATGCATTCACAATAAAATCACAGTATTCATTCAATACATTTTTTTTTTTTTTTTTTTTTTACATTTAATCAAAAATGAATGAGCAAGACATGTAATGTGCTTTTGCTTTTTAAATTATGCAGGCTTGTCCTAATGCTACTTGTCATTTTTTTCATCATCAGAATATTTATAGTACAAATTAATGAGTCAGTCAATCCTTTGTAACAAAGCATACAAGGATTATTAATCTTGTATACTTTGTTAGAAAGGATTAGGGGAAAGATACTCTCCTGGAGGACTTCTAAGGACAACTGACTCATATGGCCACATCATAATTAGGAACAAATTACTAATGTTTTTGCAATAGTGACAAATCAGTGAAATTAATTTTTTTAATTATTTTAAATGGAAAATTATCTCCAAAAATTTATCATCTACTACATTTAAGCAATTAACACTGTATCTCACAATAAAAATGCTTTATAGAAAAGATACAAAAAATAGAAAAGGTGAAAGTGGAGCATATAGAAAAACCATTCCTTATCACTGAATGAAAAGAATGCAGTAAAAACCTATGAATAGGTTGGCTGCACTGTGGTTTTCCTATAGAAAAATTCAAGCTAGCTGCTTTTAAAAATTAGCCAACAGTGACTGAATGCCTAAAACCATACGACACTGATACTTCGATTCTGGTTCGCGACAGGGCTGTCTACGTGATGTCTCATATGTAAATACAGATTAGTGTTTTAGACACTCCTCCTTAAAACAAACTATTGCTACTCAGGTCTTTGGGCATTACACCATAATTAAATCTAATCAAACCTTAAATTTTTTGACAAAAGTCTTCTTCCTCAGATTCCATTTATTTAAATTCTTTTAAGTCACTATTTAATAAACTATTTATTGTGGCAGTTAAATTACTAAATATAGCCTATCTTAAAATAAACACTCAAAGGCTACAAGATATTTAATATTTTACAACCAATATCAATAATTTAACAATTTAAACTATTTTACATTTCTTAATACAAGATAACATACCTTAATGGGATCTAGCTTAAGAAAATTTTATAAGCACTACAAATTCTGAAGTTGTACATCATTTCATTTAAATTTTTTAAATTGATAGCATGAATTCTAAGTCACTTAATCACTGCTTTATTTCAACATAATTACTTCCAATATATGCATTAAAAAATTATATATTTTGCTTTTTGATAAGCTTAAGTGTGCTGTACTTCAAATAATGTAACAGGACTACAGACATCAAAGTGCATGGAGACACTAATTTTTGAAGTATCTAGCATAAAATTATAACCTTTTTAAGTTTTTTACCATTATGGAGCAATGTTTATATTAAAAAATAAATATGGTTTATGGAGCAATGTCTATATTAAAAAAAAATTGATTTTGATTTTGTTCTTTGAAATTGGTTTGATTACAGTTAAATGGGAATATAACTGCACACTTAAATATGCATGTTTTAACCATTAATTTTGTATAACATGTAATTAAAATTATTTACAAAATTAAGTTAATGCATACAGAAAAACTCTGTATGTTCTAATTGAAAAAAATCATATTTTTAAACATTATTATTTTAAAAAATTACAAAATATATAATTATAGAATAACGATCTATAAATAAAAATTACCCAACAACTCCAAAAAAATTATCATGAATTTTAATACAAACAGGATAGCAAATAATCTTAAATAAGAATTAGATTCACTTTTACTTTTATAGAAGTGATAAAGTTATTGTTGGAAATATATTTTTACCATGGCAGCTCAACTCAGTTCAATTAAATAAACGATTATAAATATTAGAAAAAAAACTGCGAAACCTTTGTGCTATTTAATACACTATTTTTAAGTCTATTAAAACGAACATCTCATTTTTCACCCTAAAGCAATTAGTAGAACAATTTCTAATTACTCTGTCATACATTTTCTATTACAGATTAATTCTTGTCAATTGCCCTGCACGTGTTAGGTGAAAATTAAATGACACACGCCTATTGTTTTGAACATACGCTCGTAGCATAGCATATCTAGAAGCTTGTTCAAGGTCATCGCCAAAATCAAAAAGTAAAAAGAAAACAAAAGATTAACTTACCAGGCCCAGGCAAGGAACTAAGGTCTGATCTTGAAACTTGAGCATTTTTGGATGGCAGAAAACTCTGACTTGGTATTTGGGCGACACTTTTTTCCTGAAAATATAAAAAAAACAATGTGGACTTTCTCGACCCATCTCGTTTTAGATTCTCCGCGATGAAGCAGGCGTTGACATTGGAAAACCACACCAAGGGAATAAAAAAAAAAACACTGCCCGCACACCCATACCTCTTCTTCTGTAACTTCAGTAACAAGGCTGGTTTTGACCTCCTTCAGATTTTCAGCAGACGATCTCTCCTCATCCTCACCCTCACCTTCCACTTGGAACACTTTAATTTCATCTTTCGGCGATAGATCCACACCATCACCGCCGCTGACATGAGGCATGCCTTCCAGAAGTAATCGTAGTCACAACCTCACTTTATTAATAGTTAGTTACGCGGTAAACGCGTTGAAAATTCCTCGTGTATACAACCACACCGCCAAACGCCGACATGGAGCATAAAGCTCGGCCCACTGAAATGCTTAACTTTCGGGCAAATCAGAGTACAGCTTCATGGTTGCCGCACCGCCTGTAAGTAAACGCGCCAAAAGAAGTTCAAACGGAATGTTTTTTGGCGACTTTAGCTTATTAAGCTTCACAATGAGACTGGTTAATCGCGAAGCTTTCGCATCGTACAAATTAAAAGCTTTAACTATTTTCCGTTTACGCGGCTGAATAAAATGAATGGAATTTTAAAAGTTAAAAATTAAATGAATGTTTCTTTCCGTTATTTTAATTTTTAAAAAATTGCAGTCTCGAATTTTCAGATTGCGTTCGAAAACCTCAAGATTATGCTATTGAAATTTTCAAAATATTAAAAACTTATAACATTATGAAAATTCAATGTACTAATACCAAAAGCATATTTTATTAATTACAACAAAGGTGAAAATTAAAAATATCAGGAAATTTTTTAAGTGTTATAAATAAATCAAGTCTATTAAGCTAAGATAAATGCAACGTACTGAAAAATAGAAAGAGATTTATTACGGAAAGAAAAGTTTCACCTTACTACCTTTGCTATTGCAAGTAGTCTTCGATCAAGAAAACTTCTTAAAAATGGCAAAAGTGTACCGGTTTCAACGATTTCAAGATTAAAAGAAATAATAAAAAGTAATAAAGAATAATAAAAAGAAATAGTAAAATTTCGATCTCTAATTCTTGGAAACTCTACCCTACTACTTTACCACCTCTTCAAAGAAACATCTCTTTACTTTTAGCTACATTATATGGAATTTTGATACTATCTCACTATTTTCTGCAATTTTTTTTTTTTTTTTTTTTTGAGGGGGGTTCTCTCTATGCAACATTTTTCGTAAATGTTTACGGATCCATAAAACATACTGTGTTATTTTTCTTGGATTATGCTAAGACACAGGAAAGCTTCTGCCTAAGAGGAAGAATGCTTTTGGGGAGATTATTATGAGGAAAAACTACTCGCATTCGCAACTCTGGATGTTGCCTCTCCTTCTAATTTTTACTTAAGGTATTGGCTTCCTTATCCTTCTTAATTCCCGCATTTTGCGCTTTTGCCTGAACACTGGTAGTTCGGTCCGAGATTCGAATCCCGCGAATAGGCTGACTGTGAAAGCATTTTCGTGGTTTTCTCCCTGTGTAAAGTATGTACACTAGACTCCTTAGATTTTTCTGAAGCATGAAAAATGAACGATGCCCTGGGCAGGACTGGACCTCTCGAATACGCGCCGAGTGTGCTACCGTTACACCACAAAGGCATGATGGGGGGAAGGAAGAAAATAATACGAGTCAGTTTCCCTTCGAAAATTCTTCACGAAGGCATCGCTTCCTTTAAGCAGATATCCCTTGAGTGCTTTGTCATAACTGACGCACGCTAACACGAAGTGCATGAAAGAGCGCTGCTTTTTTTTACAATTATATGTTTAACAAGTAATATTGTATGTGTGTTTAACAGATGTATATTATAATACGTAACGTTATAAATACTTTTCGTGAGTAATAATAAACATCGAAGTGAAAGTTCATTATAGGATGCTGACTGAAAACAGATATTTAAAAACTCAACGATTTTTGTCTCTTCCGCAAGCGATTTCAATTTTATGGGGTTAGAGTTTCAAGATTAGGGTTATTTAAATTATGTCAAGGCAAATAAGGGTTCCCTGCTTAAGAGAAGGAATGCTTCTCTGGACGATTCTGGTTTAGTTATGCTTTCAGTGTTTTTCGTCATGAGCAAGATTTAAATTTTCTCTTCAACTAACTTGCTTATTCAAGAGATCTATGAAAATTGCCAACACGCAGCAATATAGATTGCAATGTTGGCTAAATTAAAAAAATGTTTTTAAATGAATCATTGTATTTAAAAAGCAATTTACGAATACTTTGCTGATTTATATCTCTTTATATTTAAAAAAGATATGCTAAAACAGACATACTAAAACAGCTTTTGATCTGAATATTAAATCCATTTGAACAGTTCAGATTTATTTTTATTAGACTGCAAGCGTTATCACATATTTTTGTCAAAAGATAACAGAAATAATTCTACACTCTGTCGCTAGTTCCGTACGCGCTGTTTTTAAAACCAATTTCTTAACATCATAATTTGCATTTTAAATAAAAATATTTCTTTCATTTCCTATATAGCCTTTGTTTCAGCTTTCGGTTTACTTCTTAATTTCTCAGCTGAGATTTTAAATCACTGTTTCATCATTTTAAAGACTCATGATTCATTATAGCGGAATTTGAAGAAAGTATGCTAAAGATATGGCTTTAATCTTTCATCATTTTATTTTTGAAGAAATTAACAATAAAATTTAAAGTGTGAGTAGTATCTGTATTGCGATGGAGTGATACTTTTTGACTGCTCTATATCGGGAATAAAAGACATCGTGTGATAAATCGTCAACAATTATAAGTCCTTTATTGAAACTTCTTTTCAATTCTCGAAAAGAAATTATTCTCCCCATTCAGAATAAAAATACAGTCATTTTTCATTACACTCATTTACATAAATCAATCCTTTATCATAATCACAACATATACCCATTTGTCTCCGTCTAAATGATTCTGATAAAGCGTTTTTCGAACAAGTTCCACATGCACCCCGATGCCTAGACATAATAGCGACAAATGTTTTGCATTTTATCCTTTTTATAAGATTTAAATCATTATTATTTTCCTTACTGTCAAGAGATAGTGGTTTGTTTTATTAAATCTGTGATTTCTCTTCCGAGACCAGAAGCTTTACTTCTGAAATAGTCATTAAAATACGCACTTACTTTCTTCGAATATATTATAGGTTACTTTTCTTTCATATTACAGTAATACTTGATGGTTTTTATCTTTATAGTGAATACTGTTATTTACTTTTTACTAATGAATGATAATTCCATGTTTTTAAGTACGTTTTTTAATCGCAACGAAACGTCGCTTTTCGGCGATTTCTCGATTCCTTCTTTCCCCTTCCCCTTTCATCCTGTAGTCAAATTCATGATGATTTATCCCTTGATTTTCTACATCCACCTCATTAACAATCCCTACTGAAAAACTCATTCCCATTATATTGTTTTTTGCAAAATATTACTGTCGAAACAGTCATTTCTTGAAAAAAACGAAACATTTACGTCATGAAAGTTTCAAAACTAATCAGCATCCCAATCGCTGCAAAGTAATTTTAGAAACGCTGCACAAGCGTGAAATGCAATTCCATTTGCAATCGTATGTCATATTCGAAATTTACCTCTTGATATTTTTCCTCATATCTGTTTAAAAGGTAATGATAAGATTACCGGAACATGAATTTATTTGACGTAAAATGTGGTCATCCAGGCTTTATATCTAAAAACAGATCATACACATGACATAGAAATTTATAAAATAAATTAATGAAAGAAAATTATTAATAAATGTTAGAAATTGAAAGAGCCGCCCTAGAGATAGTAGTTAGAGACGCTAACTGCCGCACAGAAGGGCACGGGCGCGAATCCCGGAGAAGGCAGGGATGTTTGTAAATGTACAGTGTCTGTGCGGTATGGGGACACTTTAATTATCCAGCGAGTTGAAAGACCTTCTCGAGAGGTTGGTGGTAAGGAAAGAGGGGTTGGAGACCCTCGGACCCGTTCCCGCGGTTGCTCTCCATCAAAATTGGGGGGGGGGGACTGAAGTCGTACTCTCACCTGTATTATGCTCAAGGTTCTTGCCAACGACAAGCGCAATCTTGCGCTCTTTGCCAAGATGAATTTCGTGGGCTTGGGCTGATGTTACTGTCAAACAAGATGCGTCTTAACAACCAGAAAAATCGAAAACTAAGTTATGCGAAAGCAATGAGGCCCACCTCGCCCAAGTCTTTTAGGTCATGAAAACAGATTATCCCTGTCTCAAAAAGTTATTTTTCGAAACGAGTATGACTCGAGAAAGAAGGATGATAGCGGAGAAATCGATATTATTTTGGGTAGAGGATGAATCCACACTAAGCTGCTACTTTCGACATTCGAATCAGGATTTGATTTATATTCTTACGAAGTCCTTTCCCTTTTAATTTTATTCAATGTAGTCTATCACTGATGCGAATTTTATAAAGCAAAAGTATCCCGTGGGCATCCGAAGTAATTTTATGCCGCCTGTAAAGATGTTACTCCTTCATGTAATTTCTATTATATATTTGTTGCAAATACGGTTTAGCAAGAATCGAAATTCCAGTTATTTAAAGGCCGAGCTTACATTATTTTCATTACCATTAAAACAACCATTTATAGCACCAGAAAAATCTATGAATGGAGTTAATTAATTTACAACGTGATATACTGTATTTTCCGGTTAAGACGCGCGTTTCCTTTAAAAATTTCATGTCTTACCCCTGAACCAACGGAAACGCCAGCGGTGGCGGTGAGGCAAACGAAAGCAAAGGTGAAAATTGTCCATGGCATATGCGCGGCTTTCATGTTAAATCCGCAGAATGTCAAGCACTTCGCTCAACTACTTCTTTAAGAAACTCAAAGAAATGTCTGAAATTCCATTTGACCACTCACAATACTTTCTTTCACCTCGTTCATTAACGTACTAAGAAGTGTGAAGATTTCAAATGATATCATTTCTAGTTCCTAACAAAGGAATTTCATGTATAGTAAGTCGCATTTAGCCAAGAGATAAGGAATCACAAAATAATCCTTTTAGGAAAGAGCTGTCTGCAATAAACATCTGGGGAAACTGCACCTTGTCTACGTTTGCCTACGTCACAAAAATGAGGTCCAGCTAATGGATGGAAGCTCTGACACAGGTAATGAGTCGTATATTAAATAAGCATTGATTTCAAGAGCGTTATGCAATATTTCCCTCCTATTAAATTGTAATCCAGAAGGTTAATAAAAATCACTTTGTTGATCAAATAATCCTTCAGTTTTTTTTTTTTTTTTTTTTTTTCCAATTTTCAGATCCCAAAATCAAGGTGCGTCTTATACATGGGAACATCTTATACGAGAAGAAGTACGG